GTTGCCCAGGCTGGTCTTGAACTCTTAGGCTGAAATGATCCTCCCACCTCAGCCTCCCAAAGAGAAACTAAAGAAATTTTAACCCCTCTCTCCTCTTCATCAACATATCTTGTGGATTTTTATCTCCTATAATCTCTTGAATCCATATTCTCGTATGAATTCACTTCTATCATTCTTGTCCAAGAGCTATCACTTCTCACATGGACTTCAAGGGTCTAAGCATCAACTCTTATTTCCTTCTCAGTTGTTCCTCTTGTCATAGTTAGAATGATGATTTCCAATCACAAACCATGGTACTCCTCATCCTTTACTCCTTCTCCTCTCCATGCCCATCATACTTCACCTTTCCTTCTTAAAACCTTACATTGACTTCTCTAAACTCTTAAAAAAGTAAAAATCCTTAAAATGAGCTGTTAGGTCTGCCTGATTTGGTTGCTATTAAAGTCTCCAGCCTCACCTCCTTCCACACTCCTCACTCTCTGTTCCAGCCACATTGGTTTTCTTCCAGTCCTTTATATAACATTTATCCCAATCCCTCATGCTTCAGGGCCTTTGCACTTCCTGTCTCCATCATCCTTTGCCTGGTTAACAGCCTACACAGCTCTCAGATCGTGGCTCAATCTCATATCCACAGGGAAACCCAACACACTTTCCTGAGTGCTCTCCTCCAGGGAACTTCCACAGCGATGAGTTTACATTTATGCTCTTTTTATTACTGTCTGTCTCCTCCAAACCTTTAAACTCTATGGTGTCAGAGACTCGCTCAACACCCAGCACAGTGCCAGGCACAGAATAGTCACTTAGTAAATATTTGTTGAATGACTGAATAAAAGAAAGAAAGTCCTATATTGGGTTCTAGGAACACAAAGATGAATAAGGCACAGAACTTCCCAGAAAGCAGCTCACAGTCATTGGGGGTGGGAGGGGACAAGCAGATGAGAGGAAGAGTAATCAGACCCAGGGTGGAACAAGGCGATGAGCACATACCAGAGGAGCAGGCCAGACCCCTAGAGGAGACAGTGGTGCTGGGCCTGCTCACTTGCCCCTAGATGAAGCTCAGTCCAGGTGTCTGCTGACTGAGGTGCCAGCCCTCAGGAACTCCTCATCACCAGAGTCCTGCGTGTCCTGGGATATTACTGCTATGCAGTCAGCACTGTGCCCCAGCCATGGCAATGCCAGCCTGCACTGCCACAAATCCTGCAGTGGCACCATCCTCAGCAACTGGACACAATTTGGGGCCTGTTTGGAATGCAGTGTGATAAAAGGCCCTGGCTGCAGTGCAGGCGCCATGCAGAGCTCTTGTCAGAAGAGCTCCTGGTGCCTTCTGGACACTGATCTCATCATATCCTCAGACCAACCCTGAGAGGCAGCAAAGGGTAATGATTTTTCTTGCCACTAGACAGCTAAAGGGACTGAGGTCAATAGAGATCACTTGACTTGGCCAAGGAATGAGAACAGCTTAGGAACAAAACTTAGAGGGAACCCAAGGTCCTCTCTGTAGGGTCCACCAGTCAAGTCGGACCAATTGGCAGAGGAAGGCTCAGCAAGTTGAGGGTGTACTACAACAGGACCCGCACAGCTGGTCTATTTTGGTGCAGAAGGACATTTCATCGCCCCTTCCAAGCCCTGAATGTTATATTAATAACCTAATAGCAGATGGGCCCTGAGAGATCATCTGATTCAACACCTTTATGAAAGAGGAAACTGAGGCCAGAGAGGGGAATCTTCTTTACTCTCCCTTTCTTTCCCTACCCTGCTGATGTCAAGAGGTAGGGCAGATTGTTAGCTGTCTACCCAAATCCCTTCTCCCCTTCTTTGCCTAGGTGGCTAGACAACATTTCCCAGCCTCCTTTGCAGTTTGGTGAGCCACGTGACCATGTTCTCTGCATTGGCATGTAGTCGAAGTGAGGCAAGCCACTTTCAAGCCTGGCCCACCAAAACCTTCCCCTCTCACATTTTCATGTTCTTTTCACCTCTTGGATACCTGAGCAATTTGGAAGCCACACATTAGAGTGTGGCAGAGTCACCATAGTGTCAATCTAGAAAAGACTGTATGGAGAATCTGTCCCATTGGTCTGAACATCAGTGTCTAAGGCTGTTAAGTGAACAGGAATTAAAAATCTATGGTGTTAAGCTACTGCATTCTGGGGGACCTATTTGTTACTGCAGCCTAATCTAACCAACACAAGTAGAGGCAAGAAAGCCCCCACAAAAGCTACGACTACATGAAGTATCAGATGGCAAAGACACTGGGCTCTGTACTGAGTTTGCTGTCAGCCACTTTGGAGGGCCCCCGCTCCTACCTCTGGAGAGGTTAGAAATGCCTGACTATTAACTCACTCAGTCCTGGAATTTATTCTGAATTGGCTTCTCAACTGTTTCATTCTAGATCAATAGATTACCAGGGCTGGCATGGATCTGCAGGGTCATCTGATATATCCCCTTGGCTTCAGATAAGACATCTTTTAAGCCATCTGAGATGATCAAGGATCTTGTCTGCGTTTTCATATCCCTGGGAAGGAAACACTACAAAAGTCCTTAGACATCCGTTTTAATCTATGGTCACAGCATCCTGATTGTTCCCGATCTCTTCTGATCTCAGAAACTAAGCAAGGTTGGGCCTGGCTAATACTTGGACGAAAGATATCTATTTCAAACCTCCTTGCTGCTGTGTCAGATCTTTGCTTATCTTTGCTTTACAGATAGGAAAATGAGGTCTAGATTGCACAATTAAACAGTGGTGAGGTCAGGAAAAGAAACAAGGGCTCAAAGACCAAGTTGACTATTCTAAGGTTCTATACTGCCTCTAACTCTCTCTTGCTGCTTTCTCAAGTTCTGTCCTTGGAGGAAAGGAAGAAGTACTGGGATCCATCTACACTGTGATCATCTTTCCAGGTTCTCCCTGTGTCTACCCACCTACCCAGCTGGCAGTTACCCTGAGCTCAGTGATTTCTCTTAGAAGGTAGAGAGAAGATTAGAGAGAGATAAACCTGTGCTTAAAGGGGAGGGGAGATGGCAGGTGCATATTTGTTCCTCGGGCCTTGGTAGGAAAGGCAGAGTCTCTAATGGGATCTCTGAATCCACACAAGAAACCTGTAAGGGTCATTCAACCCTTAAACCTTCCTGGTTGCCCAGGAGGACAACCAGTGCTATGTGAAATGATCTCTGTGGAAGGGAAGGAATGGCAGTGACCAGAACCTCTGAGCACTGTGTCTTGGCCTGTTGGGGCTTGTCTGGCTGGGTCTGGGCAGCTGTGCAATCCTGCCTATTAATATGAGAGCAGCTTCCAGAGAAGTTGAGCTAGGGCCATGAGAACAAACCAAGTTACTTACAGGGGGATTATTGTTTGGTACTTTCTTGGAGAGACCTGGAAGTTCTGGGTAAGAGCCCTGAAAAGTTGGGTTTGTTTTGTAGTTCTTTAAAAACAAAACAAAATAAACCAGATCTTTACTCCTCACTCCTTCATTTAAGGTGAGCTTGTTTATACACAGCATCCTTTACGTTTTCTGCCAAATGACTCACTTGTACTGAGTCACCAGAAAGTGGGCCTAGGCCCATCTGCAGCTGCCCTGGACACCACGATCTGCTCATTCCCCTGGAGGGGGGTTATAGAGATCTGGAGACAGAGAAACAGAGAGGAGCAGACAAATGGGTTGGAGAGACAGGCCTGAAAGTGAAGTCCATACTCATATTTTCATGAGCATTTGGTCCTCAACAGAACTGACAAGATCCCCAAGGAGTTCCAGCATTCATTTCAGTTGAGACATTGTCTGAATTATTGCAAATTCTGAATTAGAGGACAAGAATTAATAATGCCATAGAGTCATTCACAGATAAATCACTTAATCTTTGGGTCTAGCTTCAGAATCTTCAGCAAGTTATTTTCCCAACTTGAGCCCATCTTTCTTCACTTATAAAACCTAAGAGGCTTGCAGTCCTAAAATTTAGACACTTTATTATTTATTTACTGAGAGGGGAGGGGATATGGGCACCAACGAAACTTAATTTAACAAGAAAATTTGTTTACACTAAACCTTTGAACCTCTCCCAGGAAAGTTTCCATTTAAAATTCAGGGATCTCCATGCATCGTTTTGTTTAATTTGCAATCTGCAGCCCTCTTCCTGATTATGAGTTTGCCCTAGCCTGCCTGAATTCACAGTTTTCTTTTCCCTGAGGCCTGTTTGGGTGTCCTGGTGGTGACATCTCTGCAGAACTCTGGTGTGAGCCAAAGGCAGTGGTCAGATGGGAAAGGAATCCAAGCTTGAGAGGGCGTAGGGGAGTATGAGGATTCTCATTCTGGCCAGAGGGAGAGGTGTTAGGCTTGGCAAAACCAAGTTCATCACACGCCCTGGAGCCTGGAGAAAGGGTGTTGGTGGCGAGGCCCCTCAAATCAGTAAGGACAGGGGACCAGGCTCCGCTTCTCTTTCCGACCAAAGCACTTGGGATAATCTAGTTAGTGCTAATCACGTTCCCAAGGACCTGCTTTTCCCCCCGACTTATTGTGCATTTAGGAGTTGGCAAACTGCTTCCTGATTCGGAAGACTCGATTTTTCTAATTTTTCTCCCAAAGGCAAAGCAATGCTATACGGAGTGTATCTGTGACAAAAGTTGCGCCGTGGCTGTGTTGACCTCATCCCGCTGTCCCAAGCCGGGCCGCTCTCCAGGCGCCCGGCCCCAGCCCGGTTCCTGCCCTCTCCCCGCCCCTGGGCCTGCCGCGCAGGGCGGGTGATGTCAACCCGAGGAGGAGCCGCCCGCCCGCGACCCGCCCGGGCTAATTAGCATGTAGCGGCGCCGCTGGCCGCCTCCACCGCGCCCGCCCGGCCCCCGGCCGCCCTCCCGCGGCTCCCGACAACTTTTGAGGCGGGGAGCGCGCTCGCAGCCGCACTCCGCTCACTTCCCCGGCCCCGCGCCGCACCCGCCGCCCGCTTGCCTCGCACCCGCGGCCGCCCCGCGCCCGCCCCGCGCGCCGGGCATGTGAGCGCGGGCGGGCGCCGCCACCATGGCCTCGCCGCGCGCCTCGCGGTGGCCGCCGCCGCTCTTGCTGCTGCTGCTGCCGCTGCTGCTGCCGCCGCCGGCGGCCCCCGGGACACAGGGCCAGCCGCCCTCCCCGACCCCCCGTGCGCCTAGCCCGGCGCCCCTCGCCGGCGCGGGGCTGGCGCCGCTGCCTGAGCGCGGCCCGGAGCGCGAGCCGCAGCCGCAGTTACCACCGCCCCAGGAGCGCCGCGGGCCCGCGACCCCCAGCCCCAGCCAGACGCCCCCCGGGCCGAGTGCCGCGACACGGTGGGGACCCTCGGGCCAGGCAGTCCAAGGCGGGAGCGCGGGTGAGTGAGAGTCGGGGAGCGGCGCCGAGCGAGCCTGGGGCTAGGGGCGTGGGCGCGCCCCGGGGCTGCAGCCCCAGCCGTAGGCCCCTGCGCGCTGCGAGACCCCGAGTGGGGGCTCCGCTTAGCCGGCAAGAGTGGGACCCTGCGGCTGGGCTGGTAGGGAGGGACGCTTTCGTTGGTGGCTGGACTGAGGGGTGTGACCATCCCGTTTCCCTCCCCACCCTTTGGAAGAAAACTTATCTCCTCCCATGAGGTGCCCTGTACCCTTCCCACCCCTCTTAAAAAATAAGAAAAGGAAAGGAAAAAAGACCTTCCAAATGCACCTCTCCTGCCTGGGAGGTGATAACATCCGGCCGCCTTTCCCCAATTTCATTCTTTTTTTCCTACCGATACAGTCCAGCTACAGAACCTGACTTTCAAATATAAGCAACTAATTTTTTAAGGGTTCTAGCACTGAGGATTTTGTAAAGGACAAAGGATGTACGTAGTTTGAAACAAAATGCTGTACTGGTTCAACTCTAAAAGCAGAGGAACTGGGGGGTGGGGTGGAGGGTGCAAGGTTGAACCCCAGCTCTGCAAAGGCTGACACAGGACCCTGAGCCATTTCCCCCTTCTTTCCTTTCCCAGTGAGCTGCTGCTCCATGCACAGCCTGTCCCAGTCGGAGGAGGGAACGGACCTCCTCTCCCTGCTACCTTTGTGTGCAGTTCCTTCTTTTGGTCTGGAAGAAAATGCCAAGGACTGAGTGGAATTCTAACCGTAATACCATTATCACCCTGGAAATGGTGTCTCTTTTGATCTCACTTTCTCCATCTGTGAAATGGAAGTAATGACCCCTGTTCCTTCTAGCCTCCTAGTGATGATGTGACAAAATGAAAGTAAAAATAAGTGGAAAGTGCTTTGAACCAAGTCAGCAGCCTAGTGGTGTTGGCTTTTGCCTTCCTGTGAGTGCCACGGGCGTTTGCGCTCTCCGGGCTGTCCAGGAGAAGTTAGCTTGCTTGCAATGCTGGACATCGATTTGGAGTTTAGGTGACAGTTGAGAAGAGTTTGTCTGCCTAACGGACAATTCACTTAAGTTTCTCATATCACACAAACTTCGTGGTATATGAATTAGCTTGCTTCAGCCAACCTAGAGGTGCTTCCTAGAATTAAATAAGAACAAGTGTTTTTTTGGTTTTGTTTTGTTTTTAAATCCAGTCTCCTGGATAAAAACTCTAACTCAATATTCAACAGTATTCCCACCATTACAAAATGCCTCATCCTCGTGAATTTCTGAATCGTTGGCATAAGATTGAGAAACTGAGGAATGGTAAGAAAAGGGAGAGGAGAAGGAAACTTCCAAAGACAAGAGACACAACCCAGAGTGACTTTGACTTTAGATTCCTTACAGCATACGTTGTTTTGCTAAGTTCCTCAGGAAGGACTCAGAACATAAAAGAGAACATTTCCTGACACTCTCAAACCAGAGAAGTAACTGAGGAATGCTGTATATTATTTTGTGAGTTTTTCTAAATAGAAAGTGGAGTGCAGGGAACTGAGGACATTTCAGAGGAAATACCCAGCAACCGAAGACAGGTTTCTCTGGCCAGTATTCAGGCTTTCTCAGCTGAGGGGCTCCGATCCTGTCATTAGGGATTAGGTGGGACGGACACTGACTTGCCAGGACCCTGGCCAGATGAGGCTGGCACATGAATCTCCTTCCTTATGGCCGGGGACTCCCATAGATCATAGAGAGGTAGGTGTTACAGAGAGAGGGACATTGGAGGCAACTGGCTTAGGGGACTCAGCGGGTAAGAACTGGGGCCTTAAGTGACAGGTGTGGCAGGTGACACTGCCAGTACTTGGCTTTGTGACCTTTCCAGTTTGATGGGGAATGAGTGTGATGGAGACAGCAGATGCATGAGGCACTGGGAGGAATGCAAGTGAGAGTCCCAGAAAGCAGTTAGGGAGGAGCCAGAGTAGTGCAGACCTCTTAACCACGGTGGGCTCTCCTGATCTGCCGGTGCCCCCAGAGAGACCACCCGGCCAGTGCCTGCTTTTCAGCTGATCTAAGGCCCAATTCGGATGGGATGTTAGAAAGGTGAGATTAGAAGTGATGAAATCGATTACCTGTTGAAAACTGCTAGAAGCTGCTAATGTGACTAAGGATCTAGGCATGACTTGTGCTTGTGTCTAGTATGGGCTTGTTTCAGACAATGTCACTCGGGTAAAAAAGAAACAACAAAAAAGAAAACCAGCGTTAGGTAATTTCAGTGAGTCCAAGTTTTCTAATAACCGCTGAGGATTTTCTCTGGCCCTTTTTGTTTGACCACCATGTATCACTATGTACTATCACTTATTCACGAGGCAGCAAAGTCTCAGTGCGAAAAGGGCCTCCAGAGGTCCTTTAGTCCTTACTGTCCCATGCAGATGCCTGCCCTCTCCAGTACCCCTGACAGATGGTGCTCCAGGCTCTGCATCAATGTTTATGTTTGGGGAGGTATGCTCTACTGCTGGTAATGAGCCCTGAGGCTTACAAATAACATGCTCCATTGATTGTCCGGGAAGCAGCCTGCAGCTCCTTCTTGCTGCGGGGATGCTGGCAGTCTGTGCCAGCCATTGTGGCTTCCAAATACACTGGTGTCAGCAGCAGGGGCCACAGATGTCCTTTTATTCCCTGTGGTCCAGTTCTAGCCCTTCTCTTCCCCCTGGCAGAGTTCAAGGTTCTCACTGGTAAGTAACAGCATTCGTATTCCATTTGTGGGCTGCTTGCCTGTATTAGACTGTACATCCCTGGAGAGCAGCCCCCTGTTTGTATAGCCTTTGTTAAGCCTTTTTGCCCACCTGCCACCCTGCTGGCTGTTCAACTGACGTTTATGGCTGGGATTTCAGCCAGTGATGATAGGATGCTGAGACCTAGAGGTTTTCTTTTTCTGCATGTATTTGTCTATTACTCAGGGCTTCTGAGCCACAATTCTAAGCTGAGTGCTAAGTTAATATGCCTTGATTTTGTGATAGATAGGCCATGCTTTAATTGTGAGATTTACAGATGAGAGGGGAAAAAAAAAGCTTAAATCATAATGAAAATCAATGCAGAAGGAAAGAACTTTCCCACCCAAAGGGGAAATGACACTGAGCAGTCAGCCCAAGAAATAATAATCTTAGAAAAATACAGCTTCCTAGAGGAAAGGAAGTGCTTTGAGCCCAGCCCCTTCTGAGCTGTTAAATAGCTGTCGCCTGAATTGCTCTAGCTTTGTGGGCCAACTTCGTCATTTAGCTTGGCTGCTAAGAGAACATTACAAGGTGCAGTGGAGCCCCGGGCTGAGCAGGAGGCAGCCCCCCAAGGAGGGAGAGTGGGTTTACTCCAGGAAAGTGGCCACCTCTCTACTGGCTGAGGCTGGGTGATGGTGGTGGGGGATTCCTGAGAAGCCTGCTTGCTTTGATGCAGGGTGCCCCAAATAGGAGGGGTGTAGGGAAAGGGACTCTCCATGGTAAGCGTTTGTTTAAAAGCCACATCCTTTTAACCTTGCAAGAACCCTTTTATTGCCTCCCTTGGTGTGTGTGCAAATGCTAAACTGCTATTTTCTTCCCGAGAGCTGAATGGGTGGATAGAGGAAGGCTGAAAGGTGTCTGTTGTCCAGCTGGGCAGTTACTGCACCCTAATCCTGGAGGCTGAGGAAGCAGTCTCTGCCCTCCCAGTGATCCTCTTGCCTTGCAGCAACCCTGCCCAGCTGGCTGGCTGAGAACAGTGCTCCTGTTCTCAGTGCTCCAAGGACAAGAAGTTAACTTGTCATTGTCTGGAGACACTTGGAGATGGCAGCTGCGGTTTCGTTAGGCACTTACTGCCTTCTTCAGTGGCTTCCCTCTGCCCCAAGCGTCCTTTTTGTATGAACAGGAGGTTTCGGCTGTTATAAATGTCCCTCTCTTCCAAGAATGCTAGAGAGGCAACAAGGAAGGAAACTAGTTTTGGTCCCACTTTTGACTCCCTAGCATTTGAGCACTATATGTGGTCAACGGTTTTGCATTTCTTATCCCATTTAACCCTCAAAACAGTCCTGGAGGGTATATTATTTCCCCTTTACAGTCGAGGATGTGGCAACCCGGAGAGGTTAGATCACACAGGAAGTGGACGAGGCAGGATTTAAATGGATTTAGACCAAATCCATTTGCTCATTCCACAATATCACGGTCTCAGTTTTCTTACTATAAAATGGACTGACACTTGTCCTAGATCTTTAACATCCTCTCCAGCGCAAAATTCTTTTCCCTCCCTTCCTCAGCTCCTTGCTCTTGCCTTTTTGTAGAGAGTAGGGACCAGGCTAGGGTGGGGGAAGAGACGGGGAGACAGCAGTGGCAATGGGGACAACCTGCAGAGTGGAGATCCAAAAAAAATGTTTTTTGGAAACTACCTGAGAAAAGACCACAAGTCTTTGTACGTGTATAAAATGATATTTTGTATAGAAATTGTAAATTATGCCCCACTCATATGCCAATCCATAGGTTATTGATGCCAGAGGCCGCTACATTAATTATCAACCAGACTGAAATGAATTGTTGGCTTTCTTAATGGGCTCTCTCCTGGGAACGTGGGGCAGTGGCTCATGTTATGAGGCAGTTGTTATGAATACCTTTGCAATAGGCGAGAGGTTAAATGCTACCCCATTCAGTTGCTGTAAAATTACTTTCTTCTGGGTGTTGGGCAGGTGGGAGGGGGAGGAGGGCAGGGGTATATTCACACCTGATGAGTGAGGCCCATGATGCATCAGTGATTCACAACTGAAGAAATGCCACAAGATCATGCCAACCAGAGGAAAGGTGTGAGTAGAGATGAGCTGCAGCGTGCAGAGGTGGAGGCTGCTGGGACCTGGATAGTTCAGGGAGACTTCAGCGGGAAGGGAGGAGTTGATTAAGCTTTGGAAAGTTGACTGGAATGTGCATAGACAGAGAGGTGGGGGGTTATTGGCGTCAGCAAAATCCCCATATTGAAAAGCTCAAGGCTTTTTAAAATGGAGGTGATCACCAG